AAGTTTATAGTTAGCATCCAAATTTTGTCACTTGTTTAGGTCCCTGGAACACATATAACCTTTAGCTCATAGACCATTCAATTATGTGATGGAAATTCCCCACAAAAAGCTATAAAAGATTGTTCTTACCCCCTCTCGGGGGAGTCTCTTATCGAAAGCCGGACCGACGACACCAAGTTGAATCTCCGAACCCGCCGCTATTCCGATCTTCCAACATCGACATCCGTTTGTCGCCAGAGTCGTGAACTTTTATATTTGTGCTCATTTGGATCAAAGACACTTTTATTGGATACTTCTGTGCCTACAGTCCTTAATCGTCATGGAAACCTACAAAGGGGTATGAAAAAGCGTGTAAACTCTCTCTCATGCTGTTAGGCGGTTTAATGTCGAGATTTGTGTAGTAGTTTTGTCAATTTTGATTATTTTAATAAATCCTTGTTTTACATGTTAAAATGGTAGACTCCTTTACTCGTATACGGCCTTCACCTTATTGTCGACTCCAAATACTCTCCCTTCACTTGACCGACATTTGAGAGTTCCAACCCTCGGGACCATTATCGTAAAACAAGCTATCCTGACAGTGAGCAGGTTTGTCCGTACAGGGAGGTGCGACTGACCCCTACCTCCCCTGTGGTTCACACTAGTGTATTTGTGTGATATATATGACAAGCTGAATGCCTTCAATCTGTCTCTGCAAGATAATAACATGCACATTTTGAAACCTTTGGAGAAGGTTGTGGCATTTTGGAAAAAGCTGCAGTTGTGGATATGGAAAATCAACGAAGATGTCAGTCAACATTGTTTCCCTGAATTGCACAAATACATGGTCTGTAATAAAGTCTTTATTTCACAAGACTTGCTGTCCCTTTTTCAAGGAACACCTCTCAAAGCTCATTGATTGGTTTGCAAAATACTTTGAGGAAGACAATGTTGAGAAATTTGTATGGATCAAAGCTCCTTTCCATGCTCAAGCTCCACCAGAATTCACTTCACAGGAAAAATAGAGTCTAATTGAACTTTCTTGCAACAACAGCCTGAAAACATTTGCTTCTTCCAATTTATTGGAGTTTTGGATATCAATAAAAAATGAATATCCAACTCCAAGTTCAAAAGCTGTAAGGATCCTCATTCCCTTTGCGACAACATATTTATTTGAAGCCTGATTTTCAGCTCTAGCTGTAATAAAAAGCAAATATCACTCAAAAATTGATGTGGAGCGAGAAACGAGAGTGGTCAAACCTTATTCCGTGTTTTGAAAAAATGTGTGACGATTAGCAAGCTCACCCATCACATTAACTTACTCATTGTTGAAGGTTTTCACCATTTATTTCATATTTTTTTTGTATTTTCATATTTTAGTTTGATGGTTCTTGTGATTCAATTTTAATAAATGTGAGCTTCATCTTAAGAGTTGTTTTCATTTCTGTGCCTGAGTTATGTCATCGTACACATATTTTGACAAGGATGCCGAGACAAAATACTAAACCTGTAAGTACGCTATGGATTGATAAAATTTGGGAACCACTGCAATAAGTATTTAATTATGAGTATTGATAAAATAATTATTTAATATTAAACATTGTCTGTGAAAATGATCTGTAATGAATACATTACATTGTCTTATCTTGGATTACTAAATATTTAAAATTCATAAGCTACAATTTTTTTTAATTATCTTGGTTATAAAATTCTGATTTAATTGAACCCTGATTAATAAAAATTTTTGTATGTGTACACCTATGCTAACAGAATTAAAGAAGAGAATAATAAACTGAATCCTGAACATCTCATTTTACACTATCTTCCTACTCATTTTCTATGAAGAAAGCAAATAGTTTACATATAATGTTAAGAGACAACACAGAATACTCTGACCCAATGAAGAGAGTATTGAAGAGGAAAAAATACAGTGTAGGACCATTAAGCCGCAGTGATTGGGGTCCAAACTGCTCAACCGTGGCTTAGGTGTCCACAGATTAACTTTGTAGCATTGTAAGGTGTGAATTGGTTACAATGGCAGCCTCCATAACACTGACACTCAGCATGGATAAAACAAATTAATACTGTATTTCAATTTCATTGTAAGTTATTTTATTGTTTATTGACAAATAAGACTAATCTTCTATAAATACCTCTTTGAAGCTATAAGCCAGCATTTAAATATTTCATCCGCAATAGTGATAGCACATCAATCACGGACATTTGAAATTCCAAAATGACAGCTATCAGCACCTGTCTTGAGTGTTTGAGAGGCCATGTCCATGTCCATATGATCTATAATGCCAAAAAATTGGGATCCAAACTTTTTGTGCCACTTAAGTGAATTCGCAGATTACTGGCCTGTGGCTTAATGGCCCTACACTGTACCATATGCACTCCATGTCCTTATTACACAAAGAAGCATTGGTCAAAGAATTAAAGAGCATTAGGAATCATCACAACAGGCAGGAATAGTACTGTTACAGTGGTGTGCAGTGACATTTGATGATAGAGAAGCTGTATTTCCATAAAAACTTTAAACAAATACTGGAAATGATAAAAATAAACAGTTTATTTTAATTCTAAAATTGATAATTGATATGAAACAAAGATATAAGAACTTGTTTTTATTATTTTTTTTATAAACTAACTCTATTTGGCAATTTTTTCTGAAAAGTTGTTAATAACTTTATCATAAAAATCACTTGTCATTGATTCCATTGAAGTGTTTAAAAGCTCTTTTTCTACTGAAAGTAACGCTAGTGACAGTAATCTTTCCTCTGACTGAGTGTTCCTTGCAAATGTAGGGATTTGCTTCATGGTTGATAAACTGAGCTCAACAGATGTACTTGTAGATGGTACCATAAAAATTAATGATATTAAATCATATAATTTTTTTAGTACATCTTTGTTCAGATCATCATTAATTATAATATTTTTTATGTCTAAGAGTGGCTTACCAATATAATCTGGACATGAATATAAATATTACAGTTTACTACGTAATTTAGGTAACAAAAAATTATCCATAAAATTTACTTAAAGAATTAAAACTCTTTTCAGAAAATTGTTTTTCATAATATTTAAAATTATTAACATGTAAAAGTGATAAAAATTTTTAAGATTTTGTCTGAAAATTTGTCAATATAATTATCATTAAATGCAGGTAGCCCTCGGTTTACGCTGCAGTTCCATTCCGACCAAAGCCGGCACAAATTGAATCTGTGTAAAACGAACTCATATTTACAGTGAGGTATGGGATTAGGTTCTACATAAGTGAAAAATAAGCAAATAATTCTGTTTATTAATACAATATAATACAAAATACATATATTATAAATTTAATTTTTAAAAATTTATTTTATGATAAAATAAAATGAAATGTTTTATTAAAAAATCTTAAGAAAAACAAATGATATTTCAAAGTTTTGGATCTCTTACATTTTTCAGAAAAAAGTATTCATTTGTAATTGTTTAGAATTTTGTTTACTTTCATTAATAATTTCAGAATATGGTCGAATGGATGCAATGATGCTCATTTTTATATTTGCACTTCGCTCCCAATCATTGTCGAACTCACAAAGTTCGTCCGTTAAACTTTCCGTAGTTGAAAGGATACGCTAACCCGAAATAGAACTACATATGAGCAGAGACGCTGATTGGTCAACCACCAGCCACCATAGCGCATATATAAGGTCAGTTTGGGTGGAAAAATTGAAGTTGGTTTCATCTCGCTAAGGAGAGTTAGATATCGTCTGGCCAATGAGAAGTAGATTTCACCTCACTAATGGTAATTTGTGATCACCAGAAGTGCTACTGCATCATGTTTTACTGAACAAACTGATATGGGATATGAACTATTTGCGTTCATTAGCGCTCTGGATTCGGACGAAATTTATTGGACTATTAAGTTTAATAACTTGACTCTTGGGAACCTAAACATTTAGTATTTTAATATTAATTTAATGCAAATGTATATATACCCAATAATATTAAACAGAAAAAATAAATATATTCAATAAAAAATCTTTGTTTTAATGAATGTATCAGTACAATGTCATGGCTCAGTAAGTACGTCAACACTGAAACAAAAATCAATCTGGCATAGGGAAAATCGGGGAATTACCACAAAATGGTGAATTGCACAGGCGTAAATTGAGCCGGCATAAACTGAGGGCTACCTGTGTAGCTTTGTAAAGAAAAGTATATAAAAATAAAATATTTTTTACTTTTTAAATCTTAAAACAATGCAGTTAGTCAAATAGCTCCCTACGAGTGGCTAATGGATAGAATCATTGGAAGCATTATGCAATATTTTGGTTTGTAGCATCTACAAGCTAAACTGCGAGAGGTTAGTGCTCTGTAAAGCGCATGCGCAGATGCCTATTATCTGGCTGCTTTACACAATTCAAATATTTTTGCCATGGAAGCTGTGCCATATTTGACAATATGGCACTTCTATTGGGAATATGCATATATGAATTTATATTCAAATATACAATAGCAATCTTATTATATTGTTTTTTACATGTATAGAAATTTGTAATACAGTTATAATAAAATATTTATTTTAAGTAATTCAAAGTATGTTAAAATATGAAAATAATTGCACAATATGTATTTATATTTTAGAAAATACAAGGGAAGCAGTGCTTCCGCAACTTCCATGGACTGCACACCGCTGTACAGTTATATAGCACTAAAAAGCTCTTGATAGAAATTACATGAAACAAAGTTAAATTTTAGAACTAGAGACCAAATTACAATCACAAAACAGCAGAATCAGTTTGGATTTTTGGAAAGGGTCAGAAAAATTTTGTTGTTAACTATAGAGAATCAGATTTTCTCTAACTTTCTTGAAAATGACTCATTTGTAAGAAAATCCTCTCCTAGTTCTCTCTGGAAATATGTACTATTTGTATTGCTTTTCAAGGATAAAGATTAACACATTCAAAAATTTTCTAAAAATTTTTTAAACTTTATTTTTATTTCTTATTTATATGACTTATTTATTTTTATAGGCTGAAAGTATTTTAAGTAAAATAGGAGTGCAGAATGTAAAAGTAAGTACATAAATATATTTGTCTTTTGATTCAAAAATTTTATAATTTTAATTAAATAAAAAGGATTTAGATTTGTCCTGGAACTTTTCTGACAAAGGGTGTACAATAATTTGAACAAAACCTGATTAACTAATTATTAAAAGAACTATATAAAATATTTTATTGTTTTTTATAAGTATTGCTTTATTTTCATATCTGCTTGTTTGTAGCTATCAGAATATGAACTGTCCATAGCAGCACAGTTAGTTGATCCAATGAACATAGATATCTCATGGAATGACATTGCTGGTTTAGATAACATCATTCAAGAAATTAAGGAAACAGTTATTTTACCCATTCAGAAGAGAGAATTGTTTGTTGGGTCAAGATTAATACAACCTCCAAAAGGTTTCAAATAAGTTTTTCATTTGTAAAGTAGTTATCATAATGCTTAATAATTATGTATTATTTCTAAGGTGTGTTACTTCATGGTCCTCCTGGTTGTGGTAAAACTTTAATAGCAAAAGCTACAGCCAGAGAAGCTGGTAAGTTGTAATTAATTTTGAAGTTTTGTATACTAAACTTAAACTTTTAATCAAATTCACTTAACTTTTTAAGGAAACAATTAATCTTATATATTAGCAATTATTTATTGTGACATCATCACAATGCTGGGCTGCAATTTTTAATCGTATTTTCAATTTAAAATATATGCTCTTCACCTCAAATTAGTAGTGGCTTTCCCCTGTACATCATACTTTTCCTTTAACAATAGAGTTGTACTGGCCATCTATCTAACAGGAGAAAATTTTTGAATTGAAATAATGTGGCTTTTGGTTTGAATCGAAAGTTCGTATGTAGTTAATCAGGGCCTCCTGTCCCTAAGGTTTCCATATCTGGTTTCGTCTTTCATCTATCTAACCCTGTTCTCAAGATAAGGAAAGACTGTTGGAAGACTGTGGGAATTTATAGGTCTACAATTTTTTCAAATTGTAACCCAATTAGATAACAAGATGGTATTATATATACATATAATCATTTGGAGTGAAGAAAGTTTGGTTTTGTTATATCTTCTACATACTATAAGAATTTTTTCAAAACACATTTTAATTAATCAAATATTACCTCATAGGTTCTGGCTTCATATTATTATTATTTCAGGTATAAAATGCTTGCTTTCAGGCAACCAACTGTTTCAATCATTTTCAAAGAAGCTGAAGCTGTCCTAAAGCAGGATGAAAACATTACTTCATGAAAAATTTAATTAGTTTGCTACCTGAAAATCATTTTTTATTTATTATTTTTGTAAAAAGTTGTGTACAAAATAATGTCTTTAAAGAATCGCATTGATTTTTTCAGTAATGGTAATATATTTTTGTTAGAGATAAATTATCACTTATGATAAATTTATTGCAATTTTTTCCAATAAATTGACTGAACTTTAACTTTCTATATGCAATCAATAAAAATGTCTCTTTTAAGAACAGCTGGACAAATTTATTTGAATGTTTTTAATAAAAATAACAGAATTAGTATATTTTTAAAAAATTCACAAAAGTTACAAGAAACACTAAAATAAAAGTGTCTTCACATTTTGTCTGTTTTTACACCTCTGACAATTCACTAGTCTTACATCAGAGAATTTAAGATGTTTAGCATATTAAGGGAAATTAATCTCAAGATAAAAATTTATTCTGAAATAAGACTTATGTTCTCAAGATCTAAAAAAAGAGCAAACTGGGAAGATAGTTTTATTTTAGTGTTTCTTCTAATTCTTGTTAATTTCTATTTTGTTTATTTGAATGTTGTTTGACATTTGTCTTGTAGTAAATATGGTAAGTAATATATGTTTATAAAAATTTAAATTATTTTGAGTATGAATCATTATAAGTAATTAGATTCTTTGTTGGAATGGCAAACCTTTTGAATTTGTGCACCAAAGTAGGCATCCTTAAAAAAAAGTTGTGTTAACTTTACAGTTCAAAAACTATTTAAAGAAAAGAAGTCACTATAATTTAATTAGAGCAAATTTAAGAAAAACAGATTGTGAATAGAAAACTCAAGTGAATATATAAAATAGGTATTAAATGTGAAATTAAGGTAAACTGAAAGAAATAAATGTATGTTGCATGACAAATGAATTCTTTCAACAACATGCCACTTTGAACATGTGATTCTTAAGTTTAGCATCCCTGCCCTATCAAATTCAACTTGTTTTAAAGGAAATTTTTTTCAAATTGATATTCTATTTAAAAGATTTTACAATTAATATAATTAATTTACTATAGTTTTATATTTGCCCATAACTAATGATGATATTGCATATGTTGAAACATTTTCTTGAATTTCCTTAAAAATTAGATGATATTTTTTGTCATTTATGCATAAAACTGATCAATTTATGTCAAAATTTTGTACAAAATTTACTGTTGTTAAAAGTTCTTAAACTGTGCAATGAGGTAAATTTTTTCAAATATATGTTTTACTGTATCTTAACTTTCAAGCATACTATAGTTCAGATCTTCCAAGTACTTCAGGATGCATATTTGAGATTATATACTGTAATTCCTTGATTAAGAATAACAATCATATATATTCTGCAGATTTTTAAAATTAATTTGCAGTATATTTTAAGCATGAATCACTTTTTGTTGTTTAATATGATAATACCATTTTATTTCTTCTTTGTGGAAAATTGTACAAATCAGTATAGAATATATAGTATGGCTCAAAAGAACAGTTGAAAGTTTTAGAACTTATGCATACTGTTATTTGTGATTCAGTTGCTTTCTGTTGTTTATCCGAAAGCCAATCAACCAAAATGTCGGTTAACGAAAAGCATTCCAGTCAGACTGTGTTGTGCTGAATTGAATGTTTTTGATACTAAATTAACTTCCAAAATATAATTTTTTTGTTTTTATATTTTTCAATATATTTATTTTGTTTGTACAAAATAAAGAATTAATTTTTAATGATACAATAGCCACGATTATTATTTTTAAAAAATTTATGTCGTGCTTAACATCAACAAAAATTCAATGCGAAATGACACGCAATGGAGAAAAATTTCAACATGGGATATGTTAATATATTTTTTTGTACAAACCGGTTATCCGAACAACCCCATTTCCAATTGATTCAGATAAACAACGCTCTACTGTAATCACAATATTTCTCAATTAACTGACTTTTAAGTTATCCTATATTTTGTTAATTCAAGTTTTTATAATTGAAAATGTTAGAGCTTATAATTGTGTATTATTTATTTTTTATATTTAATTAAAATTCATAATTTCTAAACTTTTCACAGGTGCTCGATTTATCAATTTAGAAGTATCTGCACTTACTGATAAATGGTATGGTGAATCTCAGAAATTAGCTGCTTCAGTATTCACTTTAGTAAGTAAACTGATATAATAATTATTTGAAAATGGGAAAGGTATGAATATTATTCTATTGTTTTTCAAATTGTAATCAATCAATTTGTATTGCCAAATAAACAATAATTTTAAAATTTAATTTTAAATTCATAAATAGTGAGAAGTGTTTTAAACAAAGCTACAAACTTTGTAAAACTTATATATTCAGCTTTTTCCTCTCACAATATAGTTGAAATATGAATGAAACTATGATATTTAATTAATGTCATGTCATTTGTCTCTTTTCACTAATTTTTAACTATATCTTATACTTTTAAGAATAAGATATAGATAAAGAAAGCAAAGCTCCTAAAATTTTCACAGAATTTTTTTAATTATAAAATTGTACAAAGAAACATAATAAATAGCATTTGGCATTATAGCTGTGTCAACATCATTTTAAGTATTTTTAATACTGCTAAAATACTAGATATATCAGCATGTAAATGATTGATGACAATTCACAGATTAGTTCTGGAGATCAAAAATTTAAATTTATAGTCATTCATAAAAATATTCCAAGTATATGAACTTCTTGTAAAATTGTATTTATGAGTAATAAACAGATTCAAATAATTTTTAATTATAGACTGCCCTCATTTTATACTGGTGATGAATTCTTTGAGGAGGTGACTTAGATAAAATTGGCACAAAATAAATCCATTTTGTTTTGGGATAAATAGAGATGTGTTCCATCATTCAAGAATGAATATATTTTCTTTTTCAATAAAATTCTTCAATGTGTGTTCTTCAAATAAAACCATGTTTAGTACCAAAGGTTTTACTAATACAAAATAAAGTAATAAAGTTAGCCTTATCACAAAGAACAGTTTAACTTGAAATATTTTTCTGGTTCGAGTCTTTTACCCATAATGCTAATAACCTTTCCATTTATTCTACTAATTTACCATGGGAACTACTCACATTGCATTTACTCTCATAGTTTTCTGCTTTTGAACTTATTTTCTCTGTATTCTTCATGATCATAGTTACAATCTGGCTTTGACCACCTACCTTTCAGCAAATACTTTTAAAGTTATGAATTGATGTGATTTTGTTGATGATTTGGATATTTGAATTCTCAAATTTCTTTTTATTTGGCACAGCTGTTTTTCTATTTTTATTATTACACAATAACTTTAAAATGATGGAATATTATGAGTGTAATAAACATCCTAGAATAATAAACAAACCAACACTATTTAAGCAAATTTGCTACTAGCACTACTACAAGCTTGAAAAGAATATTTGCATTTAGCATTTGCAAAAGAATATTGTACATATTGTGGAAAAAATTTGAAACCAGCATTATTGTCCATAGGCATAAAACAAATTGGTATAAAATGAGGGCAGCCTGTACTTCAGTTTTTTTCATTTAAAAATTTTTTTGTCAATCCTCAATAAATCAAATATTTTTTAGTTTACTATTTTTTTTTTTTTTGCAAATATTTCTTTCTAATTTATTCTTTACATACATAATTTCATTTTGAATAACAATTTCAGAGCTTAAATTATTTGACATATAAATAGGTCACTGTTTGTTAAATCATTAAAACATAATGCATTTGTTGTCAGTGCATATGTTTTTTACAATTTATACAAATTTAAAATTGTTTATTGACATTATCACTATAATGTAATTTGTTAAATAAGTCTAGATCAGTACCAGTTAGGATTTCTCATTTCCCAGTCTTTTGCTTGTCCCAGGATTCAGGATAAAAATGAACTGTTTCNCAATTTTAATAAATGTGAGCTTCATCTTAAGAGTTGTTTTCATTTCTGTGCCTGAGTTATGTCATCGTACACATATTTTGACAAGGATGCCGAGACAAAATACTAAACCTGTAAGTGCGCTATGGATTGATAAAATTTGGGAACCACTGCAATAAGTATTTAATTATGAGTATTGATAAAATAATTATTTAATATTAAACATTGTCTGTGAAAATGATCTGTAATGAATACATTACATTGTCTTATCTTGGATTACTAAATATTTAAAATTCATAAGCTACAATTTTTTTTAATTATCTTGGTTATAAAATTCTGATTTAATTGAACCCTGATTAATAAAAATTTTTGTATGTGTACACCTATGCTAACAGAATTAAAGAAGAGAATAATAAACTGAATCCTGAACATCTCATTTTACACTATCTTCCTACTCATTTTCTATGAAGAAAGCAAATAGTTTACATATAATGTTAAGAGACAACACAGAATACTCTGACCCAATGAAGAGAGTATTGAAGAGGAAAAAATACAGTGTAGGACCATTAAGCCGCAGTGATTGGGGTCCAAACTGCTCAACCGTGGCTTAGGTGTCCACAGATTAACTTTGTAGCATTGTAAGGTGTGAATTGGTTACAATGGCAGCCTCCATAACACTGACACTCAGCATGGATAAAACAAATTAATACTGTATTTCAATTTCATTGTAAGTTATTTTATTGTTTATTGACAAATAAGACTAATCTTCTATAAATACCTCTTTGAAGCTATAAGCCAGCATTTAAATATTTCATCCGCAATAGTGATAGCACATCAATCACGGACATTTGAAATTCCAAAATGACAGCTATCAGCACCTGTCTTGAGTGTTTGAGAGGCCATGTCCATGTCCATATGATCTATAATGCCAAAAAATTGGGATCCAAACTTTTTGTGCCACTTAAGTGAATTCGCAGATTACTGGCCTGTGGCTTAATGGCCCTACACTGTACCATATGCACTCCATGTCCTTATTACACAAAGAAGCATTGGTCAAAGAATTAAAGAGCATTAGGAATCATCACAACAGGCAGGAATAGTACTGTTACAGTGGTGTGCAGTGACATTTGATGATAGAGAAGCTGTATTTCCATAAAAACTTTAAACAAATACTGGAAATGATAAAAATAAACAGTTTATTTTAATTCTAAAATTGATAATTGATATGAAACAAAGATATAAGAACTTGTTTTTATTATTTTTTTTATAAACTAACTCTATTTGGCAATTTTTTCTGAAAAGTTGTTAATAACTTTATCATAAAAATCACTTGTCATTGATTCCATTGAAGTGTTTAAAAGCTCTTTTTCTACTGAAAGTAACGCTAGTGACAGTAATCTTTCCTCTGACTGAGTGTTCCTTGCAAATGTAGGGATTTGCTTCATGGTTGATAAACTGAGCTCAACAGATGTACTTGTAGATGGTACCATAAAAATTAATGATATTAAATCATATAATTTTTTTAGTACATCTTTGTTCAGATCATCATTAATTATAATATTTTTTATGTCTAAGAGTGGCTTACCAATATAATCTGGACATGAATATAAATATTACAGTTTACTACGTAATTTAGGTAACAAAAAATTATCCATAAAATTTACTTAAAGAATTAAAACTCTTTTCAGAAAATTGTTTTTCATAATATTTAAAATTATTAACATGTAAAAGTGATAAAAATTTTTAAGATTTTGTCTGAAAATTTGTCAATATAATTATCATTAAATGCAGGTAGCCCTCGGTTTACGCTGCAGTTCCATTCCGACCAAAGCCGGCACAAATTGAATCTGTGTAAAACGAACTCATATTTACAGTGAGGTATGGGATTAGGTTCTACATAAGTGAAAAATAAGCAAATAATTCTGTTTATTAATACAATATAATACAAAATACATATATTATAAATTTAATTTTTAAAAATTTATTTTATGATAAAATAAAATGAAATGTTTTATTAAAAAATCTTAAGAAAAACAAATGATATTTCAAAGTTTTGGATCTCTTACATTTTTCAGAAAAAAGTATTCATTTGTAATTGTTTAGAATTTTGTTTACTTTCATTAATAATTTCAGAATATGGTCGAATGGATGCAATGATGCTCATTTTTATATTTGCACTTCGCTCCCAATCATTGTCGAACTCACAAAGTTCGTCCGTTAAACTTTCCGTAGTTGAAAGGATACGCTAACCCGAAATAGAACTACATATGAGCAGAGACGCTGATTGGTCAACCACCAGCCACCATAGCGCATATATAAGGTCAGTTTGGGTGGAAAAATTGAAGTTGGTTTCATCTCGCTAAGGAGAGTTAGATATCGTCTGGCCAATGAGAAGTAGATTTCACCTCACTAATGGTAATTTGTGATCACCAGAAGTGCTACTGCATCATGTTTTACTGAACAAACTGATATGGGATATGAACTATTTGCGTTCATTAGCGCTCTGGATTCGGACGAAATTTATTGGACTATTAAGTTTAATAACTTGACTCTTGGGAACCTAAACATTTAGTATTTTAATATTAATTTAATGCAAATGTATATATACCCAATAATATTAAACAGAAAAAATAAATATATTCAATAAAAAATCTTTGTTTTAATGAATGTATCAGTACAATGTCATGGCTCAGTAAGTACGTCAACACTGAAACAAAAATCAATCTGGCATAGGGAAAATCGGGGAATTACCACAAAATGGTGAATTGCACAGGCGTAAATTGAGCCGGCATAAACTGAGGGCTACCTGTGTAGCTTTGTAAAGAAAAGTATATAAAAATAAAATATTTTTTACTTTTTAAATCTTAAAACAATGCAGTTAGTCAAATAGCTCCCTACGAGTGGCTAATGGATAGAATCATTGGAAGCATTATGCAATATTTTGGTTTGTAGCATCTACAAGCTAAACTGCGAGAGGTTAGTGCTCTGTAAAGCGCATGCGCAGATGCCTATTATCTGGCTGCTTTACACAATTCAAATATTTTTGCCATGGAAGCTGTGCCATATTTGACAATATGGCACTTCTATTGGGAATATGCATATATGAATTTATATTCAAATATACAATAGCAATCTTATTATATTGTTTTTTACATGTATAGAAATTTGTAATACAGTTATAATAAAATATTTATTTTAAGTAATTCAAAGTATGTTAAAATATGAAAATAATTGCACAATATGTATTTATATTTTAGAAAATACAAGGGAAGCAGTGCTTCCGCAACTTCCATGGACTGCACACCGCTGTACAGTTATATAGCACTAAAAAGCTCTTGATAGAAATTACATGAAACAAAGTTAAATTTTAGAACTAGAGACCAAATTACAATCACAAAACAGCAGAATCAGTTTGGATTTTTGGAAAGGGTCAGAAAAATTTTGTTGTTAACTATAGAGAATCAGATTTTCTCTAACTTTCTTGAAAATGACTCATTTGTAAGAAAATCCTCTCCTAGTTCTCTCTGGAAATATGTACTATTTGTATTGCTTTTCAAGGATAAAGATTAACACATTCAAAAATTTTCTAAAAATTTTTTAAACTTTATTTTTATTTCTTATTTATATGACTTATTTATTTTTATAGGCTGAAAGTATTTTAAGTAAAATAGGAGTGCAGAATGTAAAAGTAAGTACATAAATATATTTGTCTTTTGATTCAAAAATTTTATAATTTTAATTAAATAAAAAGGATTTAGATTTGTCCTGGAACTTTTCTGACAAAGGGTGTACAATAATTTGAACAAAACCTGATTAACTAATTATTAAAAGAACTATATAAAATATTTTATTGTTTTTTATAAGTATTGCTTTATTTTCATATCTGCTTGTTTGTAGCTATCAGAATATGAACTGTCCATAGCAGCACAGTTAGTTGATCCAATGAACATAGATATCTCATGGAATGACATTGCTGGTTTAGATAACATCATTCAAGAAATTAAGGAAACAGTTATTTTACCCATTCAGAAGAGAGAATTGTTTGTTGGGTCAAGATTAATACAACCTCCAAAAGGTTTCAAATAAGTTTTTCATTTGTAAAGTAGTTATCATAATGCTTAATAATTATGTATTATTTCTAAGGTGTGTTACTTCATGGTCCTCCTGGTTGTGGTAAAACTTTAATAGCAAAAGCTACAGCCAGAGAAGCTGGTAAGTTGTAATTAATTTTGAAGTTTTGTATACTAAACTTAAACTTTTAATCAAATTCACTTAACTTTTTAAGGAAACAATTAATCTTATATATTAGCAATTATTTATTGTGACATCATCACAATGCTGGGCTGCAATTTTTAATTTAAAATATATGCTCTTCACCTCAAATTAGTAGTGGCTTTCCCCTGTACATCATACTTTTCCTTTAACAATAGAGTTGTACTGGACTATCTAACAGGAGAAAATTTTTGAATTGCAATAATGTGGCTTTTGGTTTGAATCGGAAGTTCGTATGTAGTTAATCAGGGCCTCCTGTCCCTAAGGTTTCCATATCTGGTTTCGTCTTTCATCTATCTAACCCTGTTCTCAAGATAAAGAAAGACTGTTGGAATTTATAGGTCTATAATTTTTTCAAATTGTAACCCAATTAGATAACAAGATGGTATTATATATACATATAATCATTTGGAGTGAAGAAAGTTTGGTTTTGTTATATCTTCTACATACTATAAGAATTTTTTCAAAACACATTTTAATTAATCAAATATTACCTCATAGGTTCTGGCTTCATATTATTATTATTTCAGGTATAAAATGCTTGCTTTCAGGCAACCAACTGTTTCAATCATTTTCAAAGAAGCTGAAGCTGTCCTAAAGCAGGATGAAAACATTACTTCATGAAAAATTTAATTAGTTTGCTACCTGAAAATCATTTTTTATTTATTATTTTTGTAAAAAGTTGTGTACAAAATAATGTCTTTAAAGAATCGCATTGATTTTTTCAGTAATGGTAATATATTTTTGTTAGAGATAAATTATCACTTATGATAAATTTATTGCAATTTTTTCCAATAAATTGACTGAACTTTAACTTTCTATATGCAATCAATAAAAATGTCTCTTTTAAGAACAGCTGGACAAATTTATTTGAATGTTTTTAATAAAAATAACAGAATTAGTATATTTTTAAAAAATTCACAAAAGTTACAAGAAACACTAAAATAAAAGTGTCTTCACATTTTGTCTGTTTTTACACCTCTGACAATTCACTAGTCTTACATCAGAGAATTTAAGATGTTTAGCATATTAAGGGAAATTAATCTCAAGATAAAAATTTATTCTGAAATAAGACTTATGTTCTCAAGATCTAAAAAAAGAGCAAACTGGGAAGATAGTTTTATTTTAGTGTTTCTTCTAATTCTTGTTAATTTCTATTTTGTTTATTTGAATGTTGTTTGACATTTGTCTTGTAGTAAATATGGTAAGTAATATATGTTTATAAAAATTTAAATTATTTTGAGTATGAATCATTATAAGTAATTAGATTCTTTGTTGGAATGGCAAACCTTTTGAATTTGTGCACCAAAGTAGGCATCCTTAAAAAAAAGTTGTGTTAACTTTACAGTTCAAAAACTATTTAAAGAAAAGAAGTCACTATAATTTAATTAGAGCAAATTTAAGAAAAACAGATTGTGAATAGAAAACTCAAGTGAATATATAAAATAGGTATTAAATGTGAAATTAAGGTAAACTGAAAGAAATAAATGTATGTTGCATGACAAATGAATTCTTTCAACAACATGCCACTTTGAACATGTGATTCTTAAGTTTAGCATCCCTGCCCTATCAAATTCAACTTGTTTTAAAGGAAATTTTTTTCAAATTGATATTCTATTTAAAAGATTTTACAATTAATATAATTAATTTACTATAGTTTTATATTTGCCCATAACTAATGATGATATTGCATATGTTGAAACATTTTCTTGAATTTCCTTAAAAATTAGATGATATTTTTTGTCATTTATGCATAAAACTGATCAATTTATGTCAAAATTTTGTACAAAATTTACTGTTGTTAAAAGTTCTTAAACTGTGCAATGAGGTAAATTTTTTCAAATATATGTTTTACTGTATCTTAACTTTCAAGCATACTATAGTTCAGATCTTCCAAGTACTTCAGGATGCATATTTGAGATTATATACTGTAATTCCTTGATTAAGAATAACAATCATATATATTCTGCAGATTTTTAAAATTAATTTGCAGTATATTTTAAGCATGAATCACTTTTTGTTGTTTAATATGATAATACCATTTTATTTCTTCTTTGTGGAAAATTGTACAAATCAGTATAGAATATATAGTATGGCTCAAAAGAACAGTTGAAAGTTTTAGAACTTATGCATACTGTTATTTGTGATTCAGTTGCTTTCTGTTGTTTATCCGAAAGCCAATCAACCAAAATGTCGGTTAACGAAAAGCATTCCAGTCAGACTGTGTTGTGCTGAATTGAATGTTTTTGATACTAAATTAACTTCCAAAATATAATTTTTTTGTTTTTATATTTTTCAATATATTTATTTTGTTTGTACAAAATAAAGAATTAATTTTTAATGATACAATAGCCACGATTATTATTTTTAAAAAATTTATGTCGTGCTTAACATCAACAAAAATTCAATGCGAAATGACACGCAATGGAGAAAAATTTCAACATGGGATATGTTAATATATTTTTTTGTACAAACCGGTTATCCGAACAACCCCATTTCCAATTGATTCAGATAAACAACGCTCTACTGTAATCACAATATTTCTCAATTAACTGACTTTTAAGTTATCCTATATTTTGTTAATTCAAGTTTTTATAATTGAAAATGTTAGAGCTTATAATTGTGTATTATTTATTTTTTATATTTAATTAAAATTCATAATTTCTAAACTTTTCACAGGTGCTCGATTTATCAATTTAGAAGTATCTGCACTTACTGATAAATGGTATGGTGAATCTCAGAAATTAGCTGCTTCAGTATTCACTTTAGTAAGTAAACTGATATAATAATTATTTGAAAATGGGAAAGGTATGAATATTATTCTATTGTTTTTCAAATTGTAATCAATCAATTTGTATTGCCAAATAAACAATAATTTTAAAATTTAATTTTAAATTCATAAATAGTGAGAAGTGTTTTAAACAAAGCTACAAACTTTGTAAAACTTATATATTCAGCTTTTTCCTCTCACAATATAGTTGAAATATGAATGAAACTATGATATTTAATTAATGTCATGTCATTTGTCTCTTTTCACTAATTTTTAACTATATCTTATACTTTTAAGAATAAGATATAGATAAAGAAAGCAAAGCTCCTAAAATTTTCACAGAATTTTTTTAATTATAAAATTGTACAAAGAAACATAATAAATAGCATTTGGCATTATAGCTGTGTCAACATCATTTTAAGTATTTTTAATACTGCTAAAATACTAGATATATCAGCATGTAAATGATTGATGACAATTCACAGATTAGTTCTGGAGATCAAAAATTTAAATTTATAGTCATTCATAAAAATATTCCAAGTATATGAACTTCTTGTAAAATTGTATTTATGAGTAATAAACAGATTCAAATAATTTTTAATTATAGACTGCCCTCATTTTATACTGGTGATGAATTCTTTGAGGAGGTGACTTAGATAAAATTGGCACAAAATAAATCCATTTTGTTTTGGGATAAATAGAGATGTGTTCCATCATTCAAGAATGAATATATTTTCTTTTTCAATAAAATTCTTCAATGTGTGTTCTTCAAATAAAACCATGTTTAGTACCAAAGGTTTTACTAATACAAAATAAAGTAATAAAGTTAGCCTTATCACAAAGAACAGTTTAACTTGAAATATTTTTCTGGTTCGAGTCTTTTACCCATAATGCTAATAACCTTTCCATTTATTCTACTAATTTACCATGGGAACTACTCACATTGCATTTACTCTCATAGTTTTCTGCTTTTGAACTTATTTTCTCTGTATTCTTCATGATCATAGTTACAATCTGGCTTTGACCACCTACCTTTCAGCAAATACTTTTAAAGTTATGAATTGATGTGATTTTGTTGATGATTTGGATATTTGAATTCTCAAATTTCTTTTTATTTGGCACAGCTGTTTTTCTATTTTTATTATTACACAATAACTTTAAAATGATGGAATATTATGAGTGTAATAAACATCCTAGAATAATAAACAAACCAACACTATTTAAGCAAATTTGCTACTAGCACTACTACAAGCTTGAAAAGAATATTTGCATTTAGCATTTGCAAAAGAATATTGTACATATTGTGGAAAAAATTTGAAACCAGCATTATTGTCCATAGGCATAAAACAAATTGGTATAAAATGAGGGCAGCCTGTACTTCAGTTTTTTTCATTTAAAAATTTTTTTGTCAATCCTCAATAAATCAAATATTTTTTAGTTTACTATTTTTTTTTTTTTTGCAAATATTTCTTTCTAATTTATTCTTTACATACATAATTTCATTTTGAATAACAATTTCAGAGCTTAAATTATTTGACATATAAATAGGTCACTGTTTGTTAAATCATTAAAACATAATGCATTTGTTGTCAGTGCATATGTTTTTTACAATTTATACAAATTTAAAATTGTTTATTGACATTATCACTATAATGTAATTTGTTAAATAAGTCTAGATCAGTACCAGTTAGGATTTCTCATTTCCCAGTCTTTTGCTTGTCCCAGGATTCAGGATAAAAATGAACTGTTTCTTGGGATAGAATTAATTATTTTTAAATATACAAACTATCGTGAAATCAAATGATATAATTATTTTTCATTTTTTAAAGTAATTTAATACCTTCTGTAACATCCAAAATCATATTAATAATGCTGTGTAAGATATATAATAAAAATTACCTTTGAATTATGTAGAAATTTTCACAAATAGAAAAAAAGTTATTAAAGTTTGCTGGAAACTGCATACAACAAAAAAAAAACTTTGAATTGAGTTAAAAATTAAAAAAAAACATGAACTTAGATCAAACTTATAACTTAGAAGGTAATTTTTGTTTTTTAAGTAAACTTTTATAAGATTTTAAAAAGCAAAGATGTCAATACTTCAATCACTCAATCTAATTCTTATTTTAGTAATGAAAAGTCTTGCTACCAAGAATGCCCTTTCTGATTTAATTGATGTGATTGGAATAGTGTTTAATGCATTTAAGAGAAGACAGATATTATGTGATTTTTTTTCACCTGTAGTTTGGAAGATTTCAAGTTCGTTTTTGAGATTGCAGTACTTCTTTTGCTCTCTAGTATTCTTGATTTGTCTACCTTGGCTACTTTAATAGCGGCATCTAGCTTATAGCTCGATAATTCGGCAATTTATTTGGCTTTAATAATCAGGTTTCTGAAGAAAAACTTCATACTTGCATACTTTGTACTCATTTGTATCCTTGCCCAATTTGAACAACCTGCCATTACGCAGTTATTGAAGCTACTGGGCATGGTTAAAAATTAAGACAGCATAAGCACAATTATTCCAGATATTACAGGTTCTGAAAAGTAAAGGATTTTCAGAGTGCTGCCACAAATAAGCTGCGTATTGATTATTGACCACTTGTGGCATGCCATAATGAGCAAAAGTTAAAGAAAAACTAATAAGTAGGTTTAAAATTAATAAATACAAATGTATTCTGACAGTGTATGAGTTAATTATGCTTTCTATTTGCAAAATTCCTCAACCTCAACACAAAATAAGAAAAAAGTGAATTTTTAAGAAATTTGCGGGATTTCCTGGGTTAAAAAGACAACCGGGATCACGGAATTCTGTTTGAGAAACCCTAGTACCAATGTAATGGTGCACCACATCTTTCCTATACTGATATGTGTCAGTGGTTTGTAAAAGCAGTTTGGCAATCACCAGACAGGACAATACATTTCTGTTCCATGGCAACCTTGTTCTCCAGACTACCTCCCTGGATTTTTCTTGTGAGATTTCCGAAAGCATACTTAGCAACACTGAATGTTGTTGTGAACTGGAGACATATAGTAATGCCAGGAATGCTATGTGCCATTCATAATGCCACATTCAACCATCTACATCTTTGTATTGCCACTGAAGGCAGTCATTTTGAACATATTCTATAACAAAATAAGGTTTAATTTTTCTGTATCAATTTCTGCAATGATGGCTTTATTGTTTAGTTAGAGATAATTTAGCATAACATACAAATAATCATAAATTGATTTCCTTTAGTTATTTTAGTGCTGGAACAAGCATGTGTTACATGCACATACTTGTGCTAGAAAGATCTCTTTTGTCCCTGAACAGATTTTTAAGTGGACACCCTGTATATGTATTTGTTTTGAGTTTAGAGAAAGAAGGGTTGTATTCACAAATAATAAATTCTTTAATATTGTACATTGTTTTTCCCCTGGTTGCTGTTACATTCCACCTGGTTAGTAAAAACTTTAAAGAAGAATACTGAAAATCTATTTAACAATAATTATTATATATGATAAAACTTGGTTTTTAAAATTACATATATTTAAAATGTAGATACGAGTATCCCTCATACAACACAATTTTCAATTATCTCAAATTTGCCCACGGATTTTAGGATATTGAAATTTTCAAATTGTTTTATACTTTTCCTAAGGTTTAATGAAAACTGATAGTACAATCTTTTTCTTCCATGTCCTAGCTTTCCTATCAACCACGTGTCATTGTCATTGCTTTTAGATTTTAGCCTTGTCACCGTGTTTGTTTTACAGATTAAACTTTGTATTTAGTAATTTATTTAAACATTTTTAGATAAGTTTTATTAATTATTTTTTTTTAACCATATTACATACATTTAAAAACAGGATTAATAATCCACTTTTAAAATGTAGATAATGTGTAAACTTTCACTGCTATGGAACAAATATATAAGATTAAAATGTTCTAAGAACATTTAAAATAAAATAACATGACCAAAAAAAACTAATTGAGACGTGTGAAGAAAAATTATTTTTGAATATTAAGTGTAATATAGTGTACTTGCTAATCCAAACTAATTATTGCACAGGGTTTTTGGATTAGTAAGGTTACATGTTGTATAAACATGTACCCTTACTAATCCAAAAACCCAATGCAATAATTATATGTTGTATAAACATGTAACATAAAATCAAAAGGGACTAGAGAAAAATACAGGATAAAATATTTTTAAATATGCATTAGTCTATACATATATATTTTTTTTTCACATGTAGTACAGTGGGTGATCAGTTAATGAACATAATTCATTCAAAGACAATGTTTGCTACCTCAATTGTTCATTAACTGATTATTGATTTACTATAGATTTTTATGGGAATTTGATTAATTTTGTTCTGGAGACTCCAGAAAATAAATAAAAAATTATATAATTTCTTACTACATTTATTTATGTGTAATAACAAACCAAAAGCAATCTCTCCAGTTTTTCATGGCTGGTACTGTACATCTTTGTTTTTCAGATGTGATTTTTGTTACTCCTTTATCTGCTTGATTCTTATTGATTATAACTTTCTTAACTAAGAATGTGCTAACTGTAGACCTATTCAAGCCATGCTGCCTAGCAACATTAGACATTTGCCCACTCTCTACCTTGGCTATTATCTCTTGCTCAGTTTCTATAATGAACATAGTTCGTGACATTTCACTTTTTTTTTAAAGCTCCATAATATTATCAGTTTTCTTAAATAAAAAGTTCAGAAAAGCACTTACAAAAATTCAGAGAACAGAAATCAACTAGTTAAAAAAAAGTTATGTATACAACTGTTCCATAAACCATTCATATATGACAATAAAATATAGTTTTACAAATCTTAAATGCTGTGTTGCTTCCTCTTGTATTTGTCCAGGGCTGTTCATTATCTGAACATGTGTTTGTTGTCCAATTTGTTTGCAGTTCGAACTGTTCATTATATATATTTTTCAGAAATTTTTTATAAACTGATTTCTTTTTGCTTTTGATTGGAAAACATTTAGAAAAAATGAACAAAATTAGTTTGGATTAACAAGAGTGAATTGTTTATTTTATAATAATTTTTCAATAAATTTAAAAATACATGTTCTATAGCATCTGAAAATTTTTGGAAATGATTAATGTAATTTTCTGTTTCTATAATAACTTTTTTTGGACTTGATGTAATTAAAAATTAAATATATTTTAATTGGATGACAAATATTATCTTTTTAGGCTGTAAAAATACAACCATGTATCATATTCATTGATGAAATAGGTATGTTGTTTGTTATAATTTCATATGATTACAATTTATTTTAACCGAAAATTAACTGTTACATGTTTAAACCCTAGATTCATTTTTAAGATCTCGTGATCGTAATGATCATGAAGCCACCGCAATGATGAAAGCACAATTCATGAGTCTTTGGGACGGACTCATAACTACTCCCCATTGTCAAGTTGTTATAATGGGAGCAACAAATCGGCCTGAGGATGTAGACAGAGCAATTCTCCGTCGCATGCCTGCCATGTTCCATGTTGGTTTACCTGTGAGTTATTTCAGTTACATTACTGAATATGAATTTCTGAAATAAAGTTTTTGTTTATAATTTTATATAGAATTTGTCCCAAAGAAAAGCAATTTTGCATTTGATATTGGAAAATGAAGTGGTAATTTTTTTTACTGGTTAAGGAAATTATTGTAGCTTATTCTCATATTAATATTTAAAATTTAAATTAAGATATCAGATGATGTAAACACAGAATATCTTGGTAAATTGACCGAAGGCTATTCTGGAAGTGATCTCAGAGAACTTTGCCGAACAGCTGCATTATATGGAATACGAGAGTACCTGAGAGATGAACCAACTGATCGGTAAGATTATTTTAATAATTTTTTTCAAGTGATAGATGTTAAAAAAAAGATTTTATAATTAACTTAGACAAAAACTTATGAGCAATAGGAAGAATAAATTTTTGGCACACCACAAGCTAAAATTGGAAAGTTTCAGAACTGAACACCCAAACAGAATTTTATAGTAAAAGTACAATAGCATTGCACATTACATTTGCTCCATTACAGTATTTCTCACTTTATTAGAATTATTGTAAATTTTTATGTATGTATGTGTGCATATGTCTGATTATATCATTAACATGAATGAAGTGAGCAAATGAATACACTACATTCAAAGAATTGTACTTTGAGAACAACACTAAAGCATTGGCTCTAATTTACCATTCTTGTATAGCATTGCATGGAGATTCATTATGAAAGAACTTATGAAAAACGTGTTTTTATGCAAGCAGTACTCAGTACAGTATTTTCTTTTTGTTTTTGTTTCTATTCACTAAGTAATCATACATGCCTGTAGTTTCTTTACTTTTCTAAAAGGATAGCCAACTTTTTATTAAAATAAATTTATGCCACAAGTTAAAAACTGGGTTAACACCATTTTAAATCTCTTACTACTGATTTTTTTTTAAACTTAAGTTATAAATTCTCTTATCCATATTATGCTGGCAGTGACTGCATTATAGTGAAAGTGCATCTTCATTTAGATTAGAAAGGGTATTTCTGTACAAATGTATTCTTATAGTAAGAGACTGTGTATTGAAAAATAAAAAAGATTGATATTGACTTTATTACAGTTGACACATATAATGTTAAATGCAGATGAAGATTCATCTGCATTTAACATTATAACTGTTGTTTTTCGAAGTATAGGTTTACTTTTGAATTTTTCTCTCTACACCTAATAGTTTAATCACCTCTTAATCCAGATGGCATTACACATAGAATGCATTCATGTGAAATGTCTTTACTGCAGTAGTTTATAATTCTTTTAATCTGTGAGAATTTTAGCTCATATTATTTACTTTTAATTCTGTTGTTCAAAAAAAGATAAATTCCAGTGGTATCAAGAGTAAACACCAGTCTATATTTAATATATATATAATTTAAGTGATCCTGGGCCCTTAGTCTCAAGTTTTTCATATTAAAATTTCCAATGTGTTGAAGGTGTCACATGGTACCATCTCACACTCTGACATCAAATTGGTAGTCTTAAGTTATAACTCACATGCTTTCCCATCTCACCATGTAAGTTCTTTGACTTTGAGTCGAGCATGTGAGATCTCTACACAAAAGTGAAAATGGCTGACAAATATGCTATTCTGAATGCAATCGAAGCATTAGAAAGAGCTGAAAGAGTTGTTTAGGAAGGCAACATATTTTTCAACCACGAATAGATGCTATTTCTTTTCATGTCAAATCAACACTAATAAAAAAAATTTAATTCATAATTGATAAAATTATACAGCAAATTTTTCCAAAAATAAAAAGAAGTATCTAATTTGTGGAAAAAGAGAATTAAAATGATAGTAAACTTATGTATAAATTATTAAGAGCATAGATACTATATTACTATATTAAGATTATTTATTAATCAGAAGTGTTAACAGACAAAGCAGTTTAAGAAATAGATCAAGGAAGAAAACTGTATGAAGAAAGGATTAAATTAAAATACTTTTTCCATTACACAATGGGTTTTTTAGCTCCAACATGCAATTAATTTTTCAACTAATTCTCTCCACAAATTATATTGTCTTTTTCTTGTAAATTCGTTGTCGAATTTTTCACTGTTCATTTTCTTATTATTTTCTATATATGTTACTGAAATTTCTTTTTGTTCTTTTCGCTTATTTTTTAAAATAAAACATTGGCAGTTTTTATTTTGTTTCTACATACTATATTGCTATAAGACAAAACTTTTAAGTGTAATATGTGTAAACTAATTCACATTGATTTGTTTACAACTTGTTACGGTTAAGTTGATTGGTCAAATCATTATAGTTGCAAGCCCAGATGCATTATAAACATTCCCATTGTGCTTAGTGACATACTTAACCAAGTGAGTGTGACGTATTTCCTGTCGCTTTTTGAGTTCGCTCAATGGATCTAACTCAAGACTACCAATTATGTGAGTCATAGTAACGCGAGTGAGTTCAATGACGTCAGTTTGAGTACAACATGAAAAACTTGAGACTAAGGATCCAGAATGTGCTTTTATGTGACCTCAATTGGTCTATGATTAAACATAGACCAATTAAGATCCTTTCTGGATTAATTGTTTTGGAACAAAGTTTGACAGAAAATTGATGATTGATCTTTATATGAAAAATCAAACACCTGTTTTCAGATATCTTTTTGCTGATGGTAAGTTAGCCATTCTGATTGTCACTTCTGTTGAATTTGGCTATAGAGTAGCAATTATGCTTGTTCAGCAGTAGGATATGATCAGATGAAAGCATACTTATGTTAATGCAGATTGTAGGTCTTTATGCTTTTATAACTTAATTATTTAATTTGGTGAAAAATATTTACTAGTTATCAAATTTATATTCTAAGTTATTTTATTTAAACAATGATATTAAGTCAGTTAAATTTGCATATGTAAATTATCATTGTATTCAGAAACATAGGAACAGTAAATTTAAATCCAGCTACCTATAATAATTTAAGTATAATTATACAGTTTGTTTGTATTCTTTTTGATAACTAATGCAAAAATTTTATTTCAGTAATGAGGAAGAAGCATATCATGATGCTCTTCGTCCCATCTGCATGGAAGACTTCACTATGGCATTAAACAAAATGAAAGATTCTAAAATTACTGCTAGGTTAATGAAGCCATTGCCCGTAGATCTAGATTAAATCAAAAATCTTTTCTGCAATGAAAACCATTGATTAGATTTTTTAATACTAAGATGATGTGTATGTGAGATTCTATTTGGTTTTCTAGATTATACAGGTGTTGCCACTTTGTATCTGAGAACAGTTTTAGATGCTGAAGGCAGGCTGTTGTCAGTTGACAATTAGAAATAATTTATGCACTCGTGTGTTGCACGGTCTTGTAGAAAAAAAATCTTCCATCTGTAAAAATGGTGAGTTTTTATCAAAATTAATTACATACAAATTTTTTAATTTTAACAAACTTACTGATAATGGAAATTTTTCCATTTCAAACTTGGAAATAAACAGGAAAGATTAGAAAAGGGAACAATTTTATTAATACAAATTTATCTTCAAAAAAAGATTTATTTTCAGTCATATTTTCATTAAGGATTGGTTCAATCAGGGAGTGCAGTTTGAGCTGATGTGAACAAATGTTAAAGACATTAAAATTGAAATTTGATTTCTTCCACATTAAGTAAATGTGTTTATTAGTAATAGTAATGCCAAGATGCTAAGAGAGTTAAATAAAATATTAATTTTTATATTTTGATTTCTATTTATTTTTGAAATTCAGTATTTATTTTTGTTATAAAATAAAATATTGTTATATGTAGATATATAAAAATACTTTGTGTGTAAATTAAGGTTTTGTAACTATGTTACTATTTTTACAAAATAAATATACATAATTTATTATTTTTGGGGAATTTTCAGAATCATAAGTATCAATATTCTGAGTCAGCATCTAGATACAGTTGAACCTGTATCTCAAAATTTATTTTTTCTCCTGCATTTTCAGCCTAAATTCAATATATTTTCCATGTTTATCTAAAATAATTTTCTCTCAAAACCTATATTATGAACTGAAGTATAAATTACAAATTCAAAGCTCAACTACATTTTGATAGAATAAATTGTAATTGAGAAACATCTCTTGCAATACAGTGCATAGTTGCAATTAATGCACTGTATCTCTGGCTATGAGTTTGGCTTTTATCTTATTGAAAAGTCAGGCATCAGAAACTATTGACAAACTGTTTCTGTTAATGTGCAACAATTTTTTACTTATACATAATACACACATGTACTGTATATGCTATTTTATTAATACAATATCACACCTTCAATCAAACCTATTATTGTTTGGTGTGTAAGAACCTCTATATCATGAAATTTGTCTATCTTGAATTTTTTTACTTGTTCCTGTGAAATTCAAATATAGGTTCAACTGTATTTAATTTCTTGTGCTGAATTTTAAATGAACTTTTTCCTTATAATATTTTATAATTAGTAGATTGTCTTGTGTCAGTATGTGGTATAATTATAGAAATTTAAAGATAGAAAAAGCACCAAGTCTCTAGAATGGTAAAATAACTTTCTTGCAACATAGATTTTTAATATTAACTTTGTGTGGATTGAAATCCAAACTATTTCTTGGTCCTTGGTTTGCTCTGCTGATTGATTAAAGAAAGCAGATGGAGACAATCAGTTAGAGGAAGAGATATATTGTTTAAAACTGCTATGATTGATTGTATTGTGAGATGTGTGTCCATCAATTGTTTACTTATTTAATCAATCAGCAAATCAGATATTTCAAAGGATTCTAGTTTATAGTGTACAACCACAAAATTTTTATACTTAAGCTACTTTTAATCATTTAATCAAATTTAATTGTCCTGTGCAATTTGTTAGTCATATTTTTATGTACACAACTTTGAAGCCAAGTTTCATTCCAGTGAAACTTGCTTGGCTTCAGTTTGTAGTCTATGCAACTTTGTGCAACCTATATAAGATAACATATGATAGTACCTGTTTGTACTATCCAAAAGTAAGACCCAACTGAGTTTGAGCACATTGTTATTTGAACATTCTTTTTTCAGTTTTTTGAAATATTATCTTTCTCATAAAGCAAGGGATTTAATTTAATACTGTACAAATCTTTTAAATGAAAGTGAAAGAATAAGATATTTTGTGTGTCACTCCTCACAATATTTTCAGCTTTTACATAGTGATGTAACTGCTCCTAGATTCTAATAGATCTGTAGGATGTGAAATTTTATTTAAATCCACAGAAAACTAGATTCCAGTTGTTCTATTCATTTTTTATAAGATTTTTGAATTGAAATCTTTTGTCTTGAATTAGAAGTGTGTGTTATCATCAAGTTTATGTAATAGTATTATGTAAACCTTTAAAAAGTTTACACCAGTTGTGAACTAAATGGTACCATTTTTTCCATATTTATAGTTTCACGAAAATGATATTTATAACTGGTTTCATTGATCGAATATTATAGAGAAATAAATAAATTGTACATATAAAATAAGCGAATTAAAAGATTTCTTTTAATAATTTTAGTGTGTATAAAACATAGTTGCATTTTATATTTTAAACACAATTTTCCACTTCACATTATTATTTTTCACATTCTTTGATAGGATGGCCACGTAAAAAACTGCGACACGCCATTTTGGGGTCCAATTTCCCGATTCCGTCATTTAACATCGCAACTTAACCCGTCATTAGTCTAGACGTGGGTCATCAAATCGATGTACAAGCATCCAAAAATTGTGTAGAAAGGGTATTTACAGCTGTTTAAATACCGTGGGATTCACAAACACGGATTTTCGAAATGCTGACAAATACTGTTCTGTAATTAGTTAGCTAAAATTATCTGTGAACTAAATTGAACTAGAATATACGTAAATCAATCAGTCTGTTCTAAATAGTGCCAATGACGTCAATTGAAAAGTTATTTAAAATTCGCGGAAAAATTTGCAAAATGTGCAGGTTTCCTACGGGCCAACGCGTTGATTTTTACATTGCAAAAAAAAAATTTGGGTGTTGTGCGTGTTCAATACATTCTATCGAGGAATATTCCTAGATTTGTTTAGACGGTTCGACGTTCTTTAAACTTGGATTCTTCCCAAAGAAAATAGATTGTTCCTATTCTTGATCGGAATTTGTTGCAGATACATCCCTTCCGTCGTTGTTTGGTATAACAGGTGAAACGAAACATCCCGCCATTATTATGGTTAGATGAATTAGAGTATGATTCATTTATAAAAAATTTGGAAAAATACGCTTCAATTTAGATTCAAATCTTGAACGAGTGAACATTAAGTTTTCGTGAACGAAACTTATACAAACTTGATTTGAATATTAATTAATTAAAAGAAGTCATTAAACATTCAAAACGGCGGTTAATTTGTTATAAAATGACATCAAACCTCATTAGAGGTTAGATTAATAAGTTATCTTTATTTAATAGTTAATATCATGTTACTTGGTTCGGGATTTTCATAAATTTAATAATTGACTATTGAATTACAATTTATATCACTAACATGCATGTCAGATGATTCAAAAACTACGATTTGTTGACGAAACACATTTTATAAGATGATTTATATTGAAAGTTAATCTCTATCATATCGCAATTTTAATAAAAATAATTGTGTATCAATATAGATTGCAACAGATCCAAAAATATCCAAAGGGGAAGCTAATTCAAAAATTAAAAATATTTGAAAAATGAATAATTACCTTTTATTAACACTTTCAAGACGATTGTATTTTGGATGATTCGATAAACCTCATTTGAAATCGTAAATGTTTTTTTAAAATACGTTTTGAAGTTCGAACAAATAAATTGCTTTGTTGATGGGAAGAGTTTCAATTTAAAGCCCTTCCATTGTATCTGCCAGTGAATGGACATCACGCTCATGGTTCACACGTAAATATACTGGCAGAAATCAAAACTCGGTGATCTAGAGTATATCATCTCAATAATATGTAGTGTGTGTTTATATTTAATTCATGGTAAATACACATTAAAAATCTATAAGATATTTATTTTGACAGTTTACAGAATATATATATTATGTGAGTGTATTTATTTCTTTTAGATGAGGATATTAGTTTAACAGTTTCAAATTTTAGTTACGTTCCATTGGGTTTCCGAGATGTCGATCCTTGAAAGTAAAAAATTAGATTAAACTTTCATATTTGAGTAAAAGATGTGTAGTTTTCTCAATTCACACTAACACTAACTAATCGGAGAAAATAATAGTAGTATTTACGACACTATCGTCATGCTAATATTCGATGTAGTCTTCTTTTTGTGTGTCATCCATTCTGCGGAACACTAAATTTACAGTCATTGAACATATCTGTAGATCACATGAATACTTGTGGCTTGTGTTTAATAACATTCTAAAATATGTTGTTTCAGATGAGGACTACCATAGAACTCCTCATTTGGATTCTCTGCATATATCCTATTCTAAAAATCTCTCTTCTGTAAAGGCTTAGTTTATAGAAGCAAATTACAATTTTAATAAAAATTTTACAGATACCATTTCAATAAAGTTCGTAACAAATGAAAGTAAAAACATAGAGTTATTCGATTACCCGAAACATCAATTATCGATTGGCATGGTTTCTACAGGAATTCTTCCAATGGAAGTTTGATGGCTTTTGCGCTATAATCTTGATCATCTCGTAAAAATTTTAGCTACAAGAGAATTGCGCGATCGTAATTGATTTATGAATCGAACGTGTCGTGCTTTAAACAAATTGTCGGTCATTTACGTTGTTGCAGTTGATTGGCAATAGAGAGGTTGAGGTCGAAGTTTTAAACGCGAGAACGTGTACGTCGGACGTGCAGCGCCGCTTTCCTGTAAGCCTAGAAGTTTGACAATGGTGTTTGAAGAGTCAGTGGAATTATGCTCGATATTCCAAACACATTGTCAAACTTCTAGGCTTATAGGAAAGCGGCTCTGAACGTCCGACGTACACGTTTTCGCGTTTAAAACTTTGGCCTCAACCTCGCTAATATCTGAGGAAAACCATTTAGCGAGTCGTCAATTAATGTAGTTATCTCTTCCGATCAATTTGCTAGATAATTTTTGAAAGCTGGAGCTACTAAAAATAAATTGAGAAAAAAACGAATAATAGACCACAGACTTATAGATTATAAATGAATTAAGTCGACAAACTTTTTTTATACTTGTTTTGTGAGCACCAAAACAATCTTTACCGTGCTTATTACATGTTCAGTGAAACCCTACAGATTGGACCAGTGATCAGTGATTTTATCTATTCGGCCATTGGCGGGCCTGTTAAAAATAGATTTACGTTAACTGATGATGCAACCCTCGTACCTTGCATTATCAGTTAACACACAATAAAAAAATTAAGACAAACACAAACGAAAAGAACGAAGGTGAGATATACAGGTAACTGATATTTTCTCTTTTCCAGCCAGCACTATTAGCCACGGGGCACGTGTAAAAAAGTAACAGTAACCTGAGTTTACGTGACGAAAGAGCACATATTATGTTACGGTAAAAGTGATTATTCTTATAATTATACATAATTGCCGGTTATTACGCATAATCGCCAACGATTTCGCTAAATGTCATAAATTTCTTTTATATAGCTGTATTGCGAATTAATAAAGTTTATCAAATTTACCATCCTATACTGGCGATTATGCATAATTGCCAGTATAGGATGTTAAATTTGATAATGTCAAGTGGA